TAAGCGCGTGCGTGTGTCGTGTCTACAGTTAGCTAAGCGCGTGCGTGTGTCGTGTCTACAGTTAGCTAAGCGCGTGCGTGTGTCGTGTCTACAGTTAGCTAAGCGCGTGCGTGTGTCGTGTCTACAGAGCCGACGGTGTTGTTCGAGCGCGCTGTGTATGCGGTCGACGAGGACGTCGGCACCGTCGCCATTACCATCCGACGCGTCGGCGACACGTCGCAAGAGCTGCTCGTCGTCTGCTCGACAGAACCCGGTCAGTCACTACCGCGTGCGTGCGGGCGCGTGTGTGCGTGCGTGCGTGTGTGTGTGCGTGTGTGTGTGCGTTCGTGCATGTGTGCGTGCGTGCGTGCGTGCGTGAGTGGATGAGTGCGAGTGCGTTGGAGAAGGGCTATTGCATGGGAAACAAGTGGGGAGGCTGTTTCAGAGGAAATATTGGAGACGGGCTGTTGTCGGAGACATTTTGGGGAAGGCTGTTGTCCAGTAATCTTTAAGGAAGGCTGTCGAAGAGAAAGCATTGGACAATATTGTTGAAGAGAAACCATTAGAAAAGGCTATTGAAAATGAAGCGTTGGAGAAAGCTGTTGTATATACGTGGTACCGTACGATTGTGATCCAGTCACTAGCGATCGTTGCATGTAGATACGGCCATCTCGACGAGTGTGACTATACCTGCGGAAGCTGCAGACTTCATCAGCCGCCCAGAGGATGCCTCCAGCGTCGTGAGGTTCAGGCCTGGCGACGCCGAGCGACTGTGCATGGTCAACATCATCGATGACACACTGAACGAGCCAGATGAAACGTAGGTGAAATACAAGTGGTTAGAGACTATAATAGAGAGAGGTGAGAGAAGACGTGGTGTAGGAGCAAGATAGAAGGTCAGAAACAGTAATAGAGAGATAGAGGGAGGGAGAGAGAGAGAAAGAAGAGGAGGGGAAGTGAGAGAGTGAAATAAGGGAGGAGGGAGAGTTAGAGAGAGATCGCGCGCGCGCGCGAGAGAGAGAGAGAGAGAGAGAGAGGAGAAAGAGAGAGAGAGAAAAAGACAGACAGACAGAAAGAGAGAGAGAGAGAGAGAGAGAGAGAGAGAGAAAGAGAGAGAGAGGAAGAGAGAAAGAGAGAGAGAGAGAGAGAGAGTAGAATCGGAGCGTTTGCGATTGAAAGAGAGAGAGAGAGAGAGGGGAGGGAGTAGCGAGTCTCCCGCATCTTGTCATCGTCGCTAACCATCTCACGATGGCTCCATCACCATCCCACATCTCACGATGGCTCCATCTCCATCCCACATCTCACGATGGCTTCATCACCATCCCACATCTCACGATGGCTTCATCACCATCCCACATCTCACGATGGCTTCATCACCATTCTACATCTCACGATGGCTTCATCACCATAAGCTCTTGGTATCACCCAGGCCCGTAGCAACTGAGGGGAGGGGGGAGCCTCAAGGAGGCGCCTGCTCCCCAATAATTTCCAGAAATTTGTTTAAGTTATTAATATACAGCCACTATCAATTCCCCCAAAATAGCTAAAAACAGTTTTCAATTCATTCCACCGCCACACAGACCTGAATAGACATCTATTCTTGGACATTATGAGTTGCTCATCACACACATTAAGTATAACAGTTTGTTACATAATGTACATATCATTCATGCACGTTTCATTCTTTTCTTTTAGCATGCATGTATAATGTGAGATTTGCAATGCCAGAATGCACGCGAAAGCGTCATTTCAATATTGAAAATTCAAAACTTTTATATTCTGGAAGGGGTGACACCTCCCTTCCAGACCATCCCCTCAACTCGGCGCTACGCGCCTCGCAGACTCGCAAGCGCGTCTATAACCTATTGCCCCCCTCCCCCAATTTCATACACCTTCCTACGGGTCTGGACTATCACTGAACTTTAGCAAGCGTGAAGGTACAGCTAGAACCCAGGCAGCTATCCTCTTCATGGGCATATATAGTGAAGTGGCGGGCTGTGATCAGAGGCCGGGCTTCCCACTATACGCAGTGCATCACGTTTAGTTTCCTTCTGTTTTATTGCTAATTACGAGTAACTGTCGTATCAGTGCCACGCAAGCAGCTGCTGAGATATCAGGGTCTCCTTGTCAGAAACATCATAAATACTTTGGGGTATCATAAGTGTGATATGATGGCATGACTATTTATAATGGCTTTGACAGCGTGTCGCCACGCACGCACTCGCTCCTCGTAGCGGAGTAACCAGCGTCGGGCGTCTGCTGCTGCTGCTGCTACTGCTGCTGCTGCTGCTACTGCTGCTGCTG